ACACACACACACACACAATAGACTGTGCATTCTACACAGAAACCTCTTCATGGACCTGTAGGAAGGAAACACGCTCATGTGCACATGGAGTCAGATCCCGACACACCGAGTCCTTAGTTCTGGCTTTGGCTTCATTTCTGAAAAGTGGGAAACGTGTCGTCCATCTTTACAATACTTTAAAAAAAAAAAGATCGCCTGTATGATTCTGTGGATTCCTGTCTTGAGCTTTACTTCTCCACATCTCACACGATGATGTGCATCTTTTAAAGTTCCAAATTAAATCCAGCTCCCCTCGGTGGCGATGAGTCGAGCGCACACGGAGACGCGTGGACGTGGATAATAATGTAACCGGAGTGGATTTAACACCTTAAATTGCCGAACGACTGATTTAGTAAAAACTCCACCTCAGCGCAGCGACCGACGTTCTGTTCGCTGCCAAGAAATACTTAAACAAAACAACACATTGAGCTCGTGCCAGTGGGCTATATTATTATCTTCATCCGAACTAATTGCCGGTCCAAACAGCGACACTTATGCACACGCAGGTTTCGACAGCCACTCGTCGCTGGGGACGTTAAACTGTAGTGTTCCATCTCCGTTGTCATGACAACTGGGCACTGGATTTCTGGCTTGGGAAGCCGTCACATCGCGGAGATTTCTCCGAGGCAAACAGGTTTAAGTGGCTTTTAACGGTTTGTGCTCGCGATGAAATGCATGATCCGGAGCGTCGGTGTGAGCGCTGAGGACCTCGGCTTCATTTGTTCCTATAAGATCGTCTTCATCTGCCTGGAATCGTTTCCTTGTTTTCCTGGTTCTGTCCTGAACGAGCGAGTCTGACCTCTGGGATCATCTTTTATTCACCTCATGCACTCAGGACAACACTCGCAGACAAACTTCCCAGTGGTTTTTATCTTCACTCCATCAGCATCCAACATCCTCTGTAGGTCTTTTTATCTTTAAGACCATTGGGCCTGTGTGTGTGTGCGTGTGTGTGTGTGTGTGTGTGCGTGTGTGTGCGTGTGCGTGGGTGTGCCGTCAGCTAGCAGGAATGCATGGGTACCGCCAAAGCTAAGATGGCTGCCAAGCGCTAAGATGGCTGCCAGGATTCACAGAGCGACAGCACGAGAGAGAAAGAGAAGCAGAGAACGAGTGTGAGAGGGATTGAGGGAGAAAGAAAGACGCGAGGATGGACTCTCGCGGCCGCAGAATGAGGGACGAGTGTTTGCCAGAGAGAAAAGAAACTCAATCCCTGTGTTTTGCCTCCTATTTTTGACCCTGGGTGCTGAGGTGATTTTGTTTGTCTCGTTTTTGTTGTCTTGGTCTTGGCAGCAGACAGACGGGGTGAATGGTGCCGCAGTCTGCTGGCACGTAGCGGACTAATGCCACCCAAGATTAGGATGCTGATTTGTGCTTAGAGGAAGTTGAGATGCAGGGGCCCTAGTGCCGGCTGCAAGGGGGCTGCGCTCTGGCTCGGGACGCTCGGCCCACGACGGCCTTAAAGCGTCAGTGCTGTGGGGTAATTGGTATATATGATACAACCATAAAACGCTGCGAGGCCGCATTACGCATCGGAAGAAGAATGGCAGCCGGTGGGCCAAACTAAACTAGCCGAAGCAGGCAGCTCTGTGCCTGCCGGCCCCTGTAGATGTGGAGCAAAACACACAGGAGATGCAATCCAAACAGTCCCCCGACGTTTTACTAGTACACCTCAACCCACGAGTCAGCAGTGCACGAGGAGGCGCGAGGTTTCCTGGGACAGGTTTACCCAGCGCACAGCGTCACAGGCCTTCATTTTGCACAGAACCCCAAACTGTACATTTTGAAATCATCGACAGTGAGTGAGAAAGGTTTACAATGAAAGAGCTTTGGAAGGAAAAGGAACGTATATAAAAAAACTCCGACTCTCTGGTCAGAGTAAAAGACAGAGAGCCGTTTTGTGCGACCGTCGCAGACCAACAGAAATATTAACCATTTTATGACTTTGAACTGAGGTTCAACCTGAGCGGAAATATGCGTCTTCCCGTCTTTAATCTCAGGCCCACGTCTGTCTCTCCTCAGTGGAAAAAACGGATTAATGCTCCATTTCCCCATCGTGTCCCCCCCCCCTTCACCTTGACTAGTGTCCAGACATCTGTCCACCTGACTGACCGTCTCTCCTTCTCTTCTCTGTTCCTTGTCTTTCAGAACAATCAGGACAATCAGACAACTCGAACCAGCAAGGAGACACAGACGTCAAGCCCCCACCGAACGGTGAGTCCACCGCTCCCTTTGCACACGGAGCATAAAGATGTTCCACATACCTGTGCCTACACGCAGTCACACCCACACACAGGAACACACGTGTGCGTACAGTGTACACACACGTCCCCTGCACACAGGCCTCTCTGTGTGCGAGTGTGTCCCAGCAGAGTTGGGTCTAAGTTTATTATGGTAAGGAGAGCTGATGGTGCTGTAGCACAGGGGTTGTGCTGGGATTGTGGCGGGCCACTCATAAATCACACTGACGTTATTGGAAGATGGGAACCACATGGCCGCTGCCGAGCTGAGCGCTGACCTCATGCGTTGTCCCCGCTGTGGTTAACCCTAGACGGGGATGGAGCGAAGGAGAGAGGGATGGAGAACAGGAGGAAAATGAGGGATCGAGGTAAAAAAAAAAAGAAGAGATTAAGAGAGGGAGAGAGTGAAAAGACAAGGGAAGAGATGAGGGGAGGAGAGAGGGAGGAAGGGTTGCACTCACAGGAAATCTCTGTATTTACAATAAGAAAAACGTTTTGTGCCGTCTGGTCGTCGTCGGCTCTCTGTTCGGTAATCAGCGCCACACCTGGCGGAGCAGACAGATACAGAGCGACGAACATCCGAGAGAGACGTTGTGGGAAGTGGTTTCTTGTCCTCTGGAGCTGGATCCTCAGAAGTTGTGAAATCAACACCCACGTTGTGATAAAACAGATTTTTCCTTTTAAGGTTTAAGTTACTGCGTCGATGGACTCGGAGGAAGTGGCTCATAAATACCAGTTACTGGGCTTTGTTACACGCCAACACATGACCGGTGTGTGTGCACGACATATATACTGTACACACGAGGTTTATGATACATGTGCGTTATACATCAGAGCGTACAGCTGCCATGTGGATGTTATATGGGCCTGATTGTGTGTTGTGAACAAAATGTACATGTACACAGGCCTGATAGAAAACACATGGTTTTCAATGGGATGACACCGGCAGCGTGTCGGGCTTTGCCGTACACATGTTTTTCAGCTCCCTCCGCATGTGCGTGTGTGTGCGTCTGTAATTTTATGCATGTTTGGTTCATCCGTTCACTCTCTCTCTCTCCCTCTCTCTCCCTCTCTCTCCCCCTTTAGGCCACTTGAGTTTCCAGGACTGCTTTGTGACTTCAGGGGTGTGGAACGTAGCCGAGCTGGTCCGCGTGTCGCAGAGTGAGTAACAGCTCTGAATTCTCCTTTCACTCTCCAGAGAACGACAACATCTCAACACACACACACACACACACACACACACACACACACTGCATTTCATGCTGACCTCATCACACACAATGTGACTCACCAAATGTTTTAATCCACAGTTGAAAGTAGTCCCCCCCCCCCAAAAAAATGTATAGTTTCATTCTCTATCCTCTCGATGGTTCTGGTTCTGAGTGTGGTGAAGTCAGAAGGTTCGGACGCACGACAGAAGATCCATTAGAGCATAGTTTGACTTTAAACCCCTCAGCAGCTCATAGAGACCAGGACCGTGAGCGGCTCCTGATGATGGTTCAGAGGAGAAAGTTCTGGACTCATGTAGTTTTCATCATTTTAGTTTTTCAGCTTTATCTTAAGTTTCAAACTGATATTCTTCTCGGTGTGTGTGTGTGTGTGTGTGTGTGTGTGTGTGTGTGTGTGTGTGTGTGTGTGTGTGCGCGCGTGTGTGTGTGTGTGTGTGTGTGTGTGTGTGTCAGCCCCCGTGGCGACAGCGACAGGCCCAAACTTCTCCCTGGCCGACCTGGACAGCCCTGGATACTACAACATCAACCAGGTGACCCTGGGACGGCGCTCCATCACCTCCACCCCCTCCACCAGGTACACACACTCACACACACACTCACACACACACTCACATAAATATTAACACACTCAGACTGTAGTTTCTCTGAACTAATATTCTTCATGTCTTAATTCTCCTCCTTCCTGCTGAACTTGCTCCGCTGTTTGATTGTGCTCTTTCTTTCCCTTTCTCCTCCTCCACCATTAATCCCTCTCCTTCCCTCTCACTTTTCCCACCGAACTGTCTGTCACACTGTCTGTGTCCTTTGTCTCCGTCCCCCCCCCCCCCCCCCCCCCCCGTTCCCTCCGTCGTCCAATCCCGCTCGTCTTACGCTGCAGGACTGAAATGGAGCTTTATGCAAGTCTCCCACGGAGGTAGTTACACTCATTACCGAATATCTCCCTTGATACTAATGTAACACAGACCCCTGCATCACACATCGCACAAAAGCCACACACACGCACGCTGTCACACAGATATGCACACAAACGCACACACTTATAAACATTCAGGATCGCTGTACATTCACAAACCCCCCCTTTTATTTTATTGGCGGCAGATGTGTGAGTCTATAAGAATCTGCAAACACACACAGGAATGCATTCCAGCATCGCCATGCACGCTCTTCTGAGCTCGGGTTTCCAGCACAATGCTGCTTCAGGCCCGTGTGGATAAATTCTGGCCTGTTGTGTGTCTGACTGTCTCCAGTTGCGTTGCTTCGTCTGGGCTAGAACCTAAAGCACAAACACAATCTTTACATTTTCAGTTTTTGTCACACGCACACTTTGTCTTCACGTCCCACAAATGCAACGTGTTCATCAGAGCCTCACTCAACCATCAGTGTTGTTTTAGAGAAATCTAGGCCAACATGCAGGCGGGTTACAGTACGGAGCTTTTTAGATGGGATGCGACAGTGGTGCCGTCCTTTTTAATGGCGTACCATGCAGAATAAAGCACAAGCACCTACTGTGACAAACACTCACACGTCCAATAGAACCGAAGCATCCAGCCAAGCACGGGATGCACAACGGAGGAATAGCTGTGTGTTTGAGTGCAGCTCGGAATAGAGAAATCAAATCAAGCTCAAATCTCACAGGAGTCCTGAACTTTGTGTCAGAGCCCGATGCAGTTAACGTAAATTCGTTTTCCTGATTACAGACACGTAGTGTAAAAAAAAATCAGCCCGGCCAACGTGACCCAAGTGTTTTAACAGTCAGGTAACTTGTTGGGAAAATGTGTAAACAAAAAAATAACAAAGTGCAGAACGAGAGCGAAGCACAGAGCTTGAAATAAAAACTCCCCCCCTCCTCACACCTGCCTCACCTCCTCCGTCAAACCTTAAACAAACTGCCTCCTCTCTTGTTTCCCCCTCAGCTCCAACAAGCGCAAGTCCATTGACGACAGCGAGATGGAGAGCCCGGTGGACGATGTCTTCTACTCAGGCCGCTCCCCGGCGGCTGGCAGCAGCTCTCAGTCCAGCGGGTGGCCTAACGACGTGGATGCAGGTAGTCTCCGCCGCCACCTCCTCATCACACTCTGCACACGTTCCAGCTGCCTCTCCAGAAGCTTGGCCAAGGTCCACGTCAATTCAGATGCAGAGATTAACAAACTGCCGCTAAGGTTAAAGCTTTGATGAGGCTGTAAAGGAAGCAACTGTTTTTCTTAAGGCTTGTATTAAATTTTTAAAGCCACGTTAAAGAATCATTAGATAATTCTTTTTGTTTGGACACAAACAAGCTTTTCAAAAACTTGAATGACTCCAGTAACTAGTTTTCAAGCTGCTGTTGCATAATTAAATTTTTACTCATAAATTAGAAGAAAAACGAGGAGTTCCCTGGACAAACAACAGGGGTCAGCGATTAGCCGCGAGCTACATTAACGTTCACGGCTCATTGACGCTGCTGGCAGGCTGCTGATTGGTTAAGTTGACGATGCCCCCGCTCGTCACTGAGGCTGAACAGTCGGTCCAGAGAGTCACTGACACACGAGAGCACATTAACTGAGATGTATCGTCCGCTCTCATCAAGGATGAAGAGTTCAGGTCGGAACAAACAGTCCATTCGTCAAAAAGTGTTTTTTTAACGAAAAAGTGAGAAAGTCACTGAAACTGAGCTAAACTGCTTCATCGTGACCTCGTGGTCTGATTCAATCTGACTCCGGATCCATTTATACTACGTTTTAGTTTCAGCACCGAATCACTTTTTAAATCCTCGTCCAAACTAACGTCCTACACGTGTCCTACACGTGTCCTACACGTGTCCTACACGTGGGACGCCGTCGCTCACAGTGACAAACACACTCAGGGACGTGAACTCAAATATTTTTAACTCGTTAATGTCTGAATTGAAATGGACCCGAAGCCACAGCTCACCTCCTTCCACCATTTCTGCTCTCCAGCACAGCCCTCGCTGCCCTGCTGTGTTGACCCTCTCTCTTCATCACATGACCCCCTCCTTCATCATCATCATGCTCCACTTATAAACCTGATAAGACCCCGCCCACACCGCACCCACATCACCCCAAACACATGGAAATCCATTTCTCAGGCCCCCCCCCCCGTGGTTTGACCATGAACATAATAAAGTTAAGTTTATTTGCAAATATACTATATATACTTTACCGCAGTCAGCCACCAGGTGGCGATCAAGACGTTTCAGCCTCACTTTTGAAGAGCCATCATGTAGTGTAGTCTAAGCTAAAGGCTAAGCTAAACCAACTAGCTTTAGCTGTAACACAATATTTTATTTGTCAAAAAGTAAACTTGAAATAAAACAAGATGTTAATGAGCGTTAAAGGAGCCAGGCGATTTGTGCTAAGCTAACCAGCGGTTGGCTCTTATGTAAAAAAGCCCTTTCCCTAAAATGTCCAACCAGCTCCAGAGGCCTTTAGTTGTCGTTCCACGTCCGTCTGCGTCGTGTCTCCGCAGCAGCACCGCGAGGAGCCACAGTTATTTCTCATTTTCATTCACCCTCTTTCTTAAAACCACTCTCCACCATCGCGGCGTGTTCACAGGGGACGTCGTGTTCATCTAGTATTTGACCTCAGGGATTCTTTTTAAATAAATTCTCATGCAGTCGCCAATTTAAAACTCCCACTCACATGCTGCCATTTTAACACAGCCAGCAGTAATGATGTAACTATTTAATAGACACTTGCTGCACTCCATAACATTAAAATCCCCCATCGCCCATTATCTAACCACCTCTCTCTCTCCCTCCCTCCCTCTCTCTCTCTCTCATTCTTTCCATCTCTGTCTCTGTCTGTTTCTCTCCTTCTTTCCCTCCATTGTTAACTCTTCCCTTCTCCCCTGTTTGGCCTTTCAGTGCAGCACCATTTGGCCAGTGTGCAGGAGAGGAAGATTAAGCATGAGAACGATGGAGTGCAGTTTCCTTACCATGGTTAGAACATTAAACATTATACTGTGTGTACATGTAAACATGCTCCGCTCACACCGCCCTCCGTCCTCTTTCTCTCTCTCTCTCTCTCTCTCTCTCTCTCTCTCTCTCTCTCTCTCTGTCAATGTATTTAAGTGTGTTTTCACTTCCTGTGAGCTTTCTATCTCTTCTCTACTTTTCTCTTGTCTCTTTTCTTCTCATCTCTTGTTGTCTTCTCTTGTCTTTGCTCTTCTTGTCTTTTCTCCTCTTATTTCATTTATCCTCCTCTCCTCTGCTTGTCCTCACCTCTCCTTTTCCTCTCCTCCTCTCCTCCTCCTCTCCTCTCTCTATGCTGCCGCTGGGTGGGGTTGTGTTTCTACCAGATGTCTGCTGTTGTCCATTGTGGGTTTACCAAAGCCTTTTGGTTGCCCAGTAGCTCCATAACATCCTCCGCCCGTCTGCCTCGGAGACGCTGTTGTAAATCTGTGTAAGAAATCAGACATGTAGCCGGATGAAAACCTCCCCGGTGGTTTCAGAACATCCTCAGTACTGCTGCACTCTGTCTGACTCACAACACGCTGCATTTTAATTGTGTGATTATGTGCATTATCATATCCAAGAAAACACATTGTTGTGAGTTTCCGAGATGGCGTGAACGTGTCG